GATTCCACCCAGAAATAAGTTTTTGAGAACAAAGAAACAACAAAAGAAATCCAATCCAGAAGAAAGAATGTTAAATACTTATTGCYGTTCAACTCAAATATTATTGGCAAGATGATTAATGTGTTGATCCACAGTGCTATAAATAGTGTTTTAGCTTAGTTGAATTGAAACATATCCTTCATATCTCTAGTCACTGTTTACCCATGTAAAATATATGTGGTTTGGGGTTGGCTTAGGTGTACTGCAGCAAGGGCTGGCAAAGTTCAATGAGTCTCCATTACATATTCAAAGCCCTTCATCTCTCAGTTAATTCTGCTGTAGTTCTCTCACAAAGTTGTTCACTCTGCTCCATCAATGCACAGACTTGAAGGCAGTAAGAGGCTATTGTAACAGCTCAGCTGGTATTTCCTCATATCACGGGCCAGTGACAGCAAGCCTCTGGCATCAATACCAAGTTTGATGCCAACAGATATTTGGTCTGGCACCAGCAATAACAAGCTATGATGGTTTCTTTTTAAGTTTGTTTGGCACCAATAGCAAAAACCATTCACTATGCTTGGCAGAGAGCCACAGAATTTCACCAAATGGCTTCYGCATCATAACTTCATAACAAGCATAACACAGCGTAACTTCTAATTGCGGTGGAGCCTGTCCCTTAGCAAGGAATTCTATCCTGATGATTATATCCAGGAWTATCAATACATGTGCTGCCTTCCAATTCCAGTTTCTTTCTTATTGTAAGAAAAATTTCCTTGACGAGATCCACAAGCCCCCAAGCTTGCTATTTAGATTTTCTCTCTCTTGGTGCAGTTACATGAAACCAGGTAATCAGCCATGAGAAGAGCCTATGGGGACAGTTACTGAATTAAGTCATCACAAAATATGTTGTAAATACTGTGTTGATTTAACCTCACCCTGCACCCTTTTATGTCACGTATTTCTCAGACTACAAACCTGCAATATATTCCAGAGAAGTTCACCTTATGCCAGCATGGAACCTCATTCAAGCCCCGGAGGCTTAAYACAGCACTAGTAAAAAGAGAGAATTAGCTATAAATTATCTGAGTCTTGGGACGGAGCAATCTTCATTTTGACAGCTCCTTGCTAAATGGTTTTTAGCAATGCTTTCCAGTGAGGCCTTGTGGTGGATACCTCAGTGGACACAGGGCAGGACAAGGGCTCCAGATAGCTCAGTTCTACAGACAGGGGTGTAACTGACTTACCAAATTATTTTCAGCAGGATTCGCCTTCACTCCTTGTCACCTGTAAAATGGGAGAGCTCTGAGATTCCTTGGTAAAAAGGATGGTGGAAGAATCTGGATTTTTTTTTTCTTCGGTACAAAGCATTAGTAACAAGAGCAATAATGTCACTTTCTTCTCAGGAGAAAATCTGGCAGTGCCCATTCTGTCACAATCCAGGACTCTGGAGAAAAAAACTGCTTAGATGCAGACTTTTCTTATGGAACATGAAGTGGGCACAGGGAGGAAGTGATACTAAGCWCTCAGCATGGGAAAATTTCATTCTGAGCAACATCTCCCAAGAAAATAAAGACTGCCTGAAACAAAGTTGAAATGGAACTCCCCATTGTAAATTCAGCTCTTAGTACCTGCCAAAGACATGAGAAAATCTCTACCCAGAGGGAATGGCTGTCCTTGTGAAAAAGTGCCAATCTTTCCCAATGAGGGAATTCACGCAGACATGCATTCTGCTTCAGTGATCAAACTCTTCCTCTCAAGGTCTAAAGGAATTTCCACTAACCTCCCTTCTTACAGCTCAGTCTCTATCTGGATTTCCTTCAACTATAAAAATATACATAGCGCAATTAGCCTGCCTTCACAGACTGTAGTTCATTTATGCATGCTAGGCACATCTCCCGCTGCGAGCAGCCCATCCACACCGAACTCTTTGAACTGCTCCATTGTTTCTCACGTAGTAAATTGCATTGTCCAGTTTGATCATTCCTGGCAAGGCAGTGCACTCCTGCAGCTTGCCACAGGAGGAGGAGAGGAGATGATGGAGCACTTTGTCCARCTGGTGTGCTGGACATCTCAGATGCACAAACAAGCATGCCTGCTACTAACTATAGGATTTTCCCAGTCAGCACAGAAACCTTTATTGACCAGTCTTTCTATGACCTTACCTGGAAATCCTCTCTATTTTAGTTAGAGAGACAGAAGACAGAAAAAATAAGTAAGACATAAAAAAAAAAAAAATCAGCAGAATTTTTCATTTTAAATTTAAACCAGGAACATATTGTGACACACCTTTGCACTGTATTTGCTGAACTGAAAAACCCATGTCTCCATGATTTAAAATACCATGGAGACAACATAACTGCATCAACCAAAAATACACTCAAAACCACCAGACAGGGTAGCATTTTGCTACATTTAGTAAGGAAGGAATATTTTTGTAATTTGTAGCTTGAGCAAACTGCTGAAGACTATATTACCTTATCTCCAAAAACCCATTGGCACACTCTTACTATTTCTGAATTAAATGAGTGAAATATTACAGAAAATGGGAAGCAAAGTTGATCGCGTGATTTTCAAGCAACCATTCACATTTCTCCATTTGTCTTTGACTGGGTACTGTTTGGGGTAGGAAAAGAGGGGATCACACATCAAAAAAAGTTCTATTCTGCTGATCTAAAGAGGAAGAGACATTTCATTTTAGAACAAAGAATTAGATTTTTTTTACATTGCTTCACTGGAGGTTTTTGGAGGTTTTTCTTGGGGTGATGGGGGTGGGGTGCTTGGCTTTGCTATAATACAGCACATCAAAGTGCTTTTGATGTGAAGTTTACTTAACAGAATCAGTTTTTCCGATGATTGTGTTAATCTTTATAAACCTGAAGGCGATACTGTGCCTTTTAWAAAACTATAGCAGGAAAAGACTTGAAGTTACATATACTCTCAGTGGTGAGAAACGGGAGTAGTTGGACTATTTTACCACTTCTTACAACTTTGCTCAAGTTTCATGGGCAGCGCTAGCAACAGGCTCAACACTGCTCACACTCAGGCCAGGAAGGCTCTGTTCAAACCCTACACAGCCCTTTCATAAGAACCTTCATTGGTTTTCTCAGGTAAGAGCCACCAGAGATTTCAAGGGATTTACAACAGGTCCTGGCTCAGAGACAGCAAAAGGCATTGAGCCACGGGAATCAGTGCTGATCTTAGAAAGGTTCCCTGCTCCCAGACATTAATAGCTATCTTTGTATTATTATTTTGAGTACAAGCTTCTGTCCCCTCTTAAACCTTGCAAAACCAGCTTTGCCATCCACTCCTAGTCTTGAAGCATGGCTGTGAAAAAGCTTCTGTTATGTCTGATGTGTTTACCTACAGCATTTGAATGACTTTTTAAGTTCTTTGAATAAAGATAAGAGACAATGTGTACATTTTCCACACAAATAGTGGAACRGTAATAAAATAAACATCAAAGGCAAGCTAGCAAATCATCGCTACTTCACTGCTATTTACAACAAAAGCAGGAAGAGGAAAAAAACCTACCCGTGCCATTGGCATCGTTATAGAAAATATGAGTTTTGGAAGGAATGATACCTTTTTCCCATACCCTTAAACACAAACATTGGCACCTACAGCTAAGACAACAGTTTACTGAAAGATTTCAGTTTACATTACAYGGAGACAACAACAACAGGGAACCAAGAGAGGTCTCCCTCCTCTTATTTTTGTCTTTCTGAATTGCCTGCTTTTCTCAACTGCTACAGCTTTTGTAAAAGCAGCAAGACTTCAAAAGTGTTATTATTTCTATTAAAGCTGTCAAGACTGCAACAAGAGGGACAGAAGAACATTTCACTCTTCAGTATTTACCACACCAGACTCATGTGGACTGAAGAAACGACAAAGCTTTGAAACAAAATGCAGGTGTGTGTGTGGGAACATACGTGCTATTGAAGAGAGATTGAGATAGAAGGTAGGGCTGTTTGTTTCTGCTCTTAGTCTTTTAAACCTGCCTTTTTTCATCTTCCTCTCTAATACTCCTTGAGAGCCAGACCACAACAGAATAGTCCTAACCAGAGTGACTCTGCATTAAGTATTTATTCCAAAATAAGGTCCGATGTAGAAAGWGTGCTTTTAGAAAACATGAAGCAATCCAACTCTTACTCCAGGATACAAAATTCAGAGAGTACATATGAGAAATAAAACATAAGCACCACACTGAATTTCTGCTGATGTTTTTGTTATTGTTTYGCAGACACCAGTGCTACTGCCATATGAAGTCAAAGGGTGTTTTGCAATTGACTCTGAACAGTGAGCAGAACAGGGAGTTTTCAGAGAAGCTACTGCCAGATAGCTCCCTTGAATTGTTCTACCAGCATAATGTTGAAGGAGGAAAAAGAAAGCCCTGAAGGAGGGCAAGACCCTAACAACTTTAATCATAATTTTTGGGTTTGTTTTTGGGTTTATTTGTCTAGAAAGAAAAGTGTCTAGGTAAAAACACAGAATATTTTGTCCCAAGTTTTATGGGAAATTAATAGCTTCGCAGTGATTTTAAAAAATGTTAAAGTTACTATTTAAAAAAACAAACAAACAAAAAAAAACCCTACATAGTAAAAGATTTTACTAGAGTGGCAGTTGTAAGACAGAGGTTACAAACACACCATCCAGAAAAGGTCAGGCAACACTACTATGTGAACAGTAGCACATGCAAAACTAAGGTCAAGGTTTTGACTAACTCTCTCATAGCAAAACCCCAAAACATTGCCTACCTGTTCCCATTCTACCTCTGCACCAGGTGTGCTTATGACAGAAGCAAAGAGAGACCAGGACTGAAACTGTTTTGTCAGGCTACATAAATCATTAGGAATTCACAACTGCGAAGCCATGTATTATTTTCCAACAGGTTGTTGAGCTGTCATATTACAACTTGTTGCTTTATACGGCGCTATTAAAATAAATCACTGCACGTAACAGGTTCAGCTCTGCCACCTATAAGTCATTCTGCATTTTACACCTGGGAGGCGGGCCGGCTCTGCTTAGTCGCGCCGAACTGCGGCTTCGTTCGAAATAGCCGGGAAGGGGAGGGACCTGGCAGGAGAAAATACAAACAAGTTTCATAAAATAACTTTCCAACAAGACCTCGCTGTCATCTTGGCTAATTACGGCTCTGATACGGCTTATTAGGGCATACCCACCTTTGCTACCTTGCTTCTCCACCCACCACCCTTTCAGATCTTTGTCCTGGCTCCGCCTCTCGCCGGCGTTATAATGGGCTGGTCTGAAAGTGGTGGAGAGACACAGAACCACAGGGGAAGGGAGAGATAATGACAATAACACTAATAACCCTAAAAACCCGTCTGCTGCTCGCCTCGCAGAGAGGAGCCAGCCCGGCATCCCGGCACTGACGGGGTTCGAAGCCGGAGAGAGCGGAGTAACCCCGACGGCCCTCGAGAGCTTCTCCCCGTGCCCGGGGAGCGCCGAACGGTAACAGCRGCAGCGCCCCCGAGGAGGACCGAGCCCGGGCGGACACGCAGAAGTGCCGGTTCTGGCAGCCGCCCGCCCGCCCTCTACTCGCACCAGCTCCACGGGGGCCGCCTCGCCCCTCTCCTTCGACCCCATGGAGCAGCGAGAGTAAAGAGCGAGAAGGACAGAAAGCGGGGCCAAAGGAGAGAGAGCGCCCCAGCGGGGAGAAGGAGGTGAAGCCCGGAGGAATCGCCCCGTCCCGCGGGCGGTAGGGCACCGCCGCCCGTCCTCGGCGCCCACCGGCCGGCAAGGGGCCGGCCCCTGCCGCCTGCGACCCCGGGCCGGCGGGCTGAGGCGGGCGCGGAGCCCCGCTGTCCTGCCCTGCCTGTCTCGCCTGCCGCCGCGGAGCTGTCCAAGCCGGCGAGGGGACAAAAAGCCCGTGGGTCGCCTCGCTGCCTCCCGCCTCCCTTGAGGCCGCACYGAGGGGCGGGGGTCGCGCCCGCCCAGCGGAGCCGCGGGGTGCGGGGGGGCCGGCGGCGCCGCCGCCATGAAGCTGGAGGTGTTCTCGCAGCACTATGAGGACAAGCTGAGCGCCGGCAGCGACCAGGAAGGCAGCGGCTCGCTCTCCCCGGCTCCGGCTGAGAGCGAACTGGGCTCGGACGGTGACTGCGCGGCCAACAGCCCGGGCGGCGGGGCCGGGCAGCCGGGGCATCCCCCGCCACCGCCCCCCACGCCGCAGCCGCCGCCGCCGGCCGAGAGCGCCAAGGGGAAACCCTACACGCGGCGGCCGAAACCGCCCTACTCCTACATCGCGCTGATCGCTATGGCCATCCGSGACTCGGCCGGCGGCCGCCTGACCCTGGCCGAGATCAACGACTACCTGATGAGCCGCTTCCCCTTCTTCCGCGGCGCCTACACCGGCTGGCGCAACTCGGTGCGCCACAACCTGTCCCTCAACGACTGCTTCGTCAAGGTGCTGCGCGACCCGGCGCGGCCCTGGGGCAAGGACAACTACTGGATGCTGAACCCCAGCAGCGAGTACACCTTCGCCGACGGCGTCTTCCGCCGCCGCCGCAAGCGCCTCAGCCGCGCCGCCCCGCCGCCGCAGCCCGCCCGCCCCGCCGCCGGCGCCCCGCCGCAAGCGCCGCAGGAGACGGCCGGAGCGGGCGCCGCGTCCCCCGGCGCTTCCCCGCGCTGCTGCTGCGCCTCCTCGCCCTGTCACTGCGCGCCGGGCGCCAAGGAGGCAGCGGYGGGGGGCGGCGGGGCGAGGCCGGCGGGCGGCGGCTCCGCTAAATTCTCCAGCTCGTTCGCCATCGAGAGCCTCCTGCAGCGGCCGGCAGGACCAGGACCCCGCGCCGCYCCGCAGCCGCCGCCGACACCGCACGCCCGCCTCCTGTGGCCGGCGCCGCCCGCGCCCCCGCACCTGCTGGCCGGCCCGTACCCGCTGCTCCCCTACCCACCTGCAGCGCAGCCCCCGCCCGCCGCTGCCCTCTACGGCGGCGGCCTGCTGCAGCTCTGCGCCTACGGGCTGGGAGAGCCGTCGCCGCTGCTGCTGGGGGGCGGGCGGCCCGCGCTGGTCCCGGGGGAGCCGTCGCCGCTGGCGGAGCGGCCGCGGGCGCCGCTGTTCCATGCCGGCCTGCCCAAGGGCGGGCGAGGGCCGCCGCCCGGCTCCCCGCTCTACGGGCCCCTCCGGCTCGCCGGGCCGCTGCCGCCGGCGGCGGGGAGCTCGGCCTCGTTCCAGCCGTACGCCGTGGAGACCCCCCTGGCTTAATGGAGCCCCCCTCCTCCCCTGCGAGGGACCTGCCCGGGGAGGCGTGGAGGGGGAAAGGAGGAGGCTCTGGATCCCGCACTTTAACTCCAGAGGCGACCACAGCCTCCAAGCAAAAGCCTCGGTGACTGTGCCTTAGTGAAATGACAGTGGGTTTAACTTAAACCAAAAAAAAAAAAAAAAAAAAAAAAAAAAGAAAAAAAAAGAGAAAAAAGAAAAAAAATCAAACAACTGTCGATTTGGACATAGCCATGAGCCTCAAGTGCTTCTTACTGTTCGTTGAGACTACTTGACTTCAGCCAGTCCCTCGCCACCTCCTTTTCTGTCCCCCACTCTTGTCCCCACATCTCCTGCTACCGAAGCCTTGGGCGGCAGAGCGGGGGTGCCCCGCGAAGGGGCGCGGTGGCGGCCGCTGGGGGATGCGCTGTGCGCTTGGGAGGGCGGGGAGGAGGGAGGGGGCCGGGGGAGGGAGCGATGGCGCCGGGGGGATGCGCTGTGCGCTTGGGAGGGCGGGGAGGAGGGAGGRGGCCGGGGGAGCGTGCCGGGAACAGCAGGGAGAGAGGAGGGGAGGGGGCCGGGGTCTGCTGTGGAGCCGTAGGTCTGTACTGCAAAGCAATGCATCACTGTGCCAAAAGAAACCTTTTCTCCTGTCCGGCAACTAGCATTTCGTGGGAAGGGAGGATATTAAATTATTTATAAAAGTAGTGTTTTTAACACAAAGAGAATGCAGCTTTTTTTAAAGTAATTATTGGGGGGGCAGGAGAGGGGAAAGGGCTCAAGGAAATATCAGGTGTTGTCTCCTGTACTGGCTGGCGTTCTACACTTATGGCCAAGACCACTGCTACTGGAAAGAGAATTATTTTTCGTATTTTAATTTTGTGTTTCTATGTAATATGTGTGCGTGTGCATTTTAYTGACGCTCGGCCACCATGTTTTTCCATTTTTTTCTTTCCTTTCTCCTTTCCCCCGAATAAAAGCTGCCCCCTAAATAAAGTCGGAAGAGCCCCTAATTAAGGAGAAGAGAGTGATGTCTGTGCTGGCATGAAGGAGGGTAGCCTRTCGTGGGACAATCTTGACCGAGAAGCCTGGCTAGGGCTGCGGGGGCAGCCGGGCTGCCCGCCCTTTCATCCCCATCCCTGCCGGCGGGTAGAGGTGCCACCTATGGACCCGCCTTGTTTTGGTCMCGGGAGATGAGAGAGGTTCTCCTCTTGAGTTGCCGCCAGGTATGAAAGTCCTCTGCAATTCCTCGAGTCAAATCAGATTTTCCCGCCGGGGCTCAGCCCTGCAGACCTGCTGGCGATTTACAGGCAGAGAGATTTGCAGTCAGGCTGTGCGATGTAGGGGCAGCGTGTGGAAATCCTATACATCTGCCTGTCTGCCTGCCTTTCTTTTCTTCCTTTTTTTAATTTTTTTTTCCACGAAGGACATCAGACGACATGTAATCCTGTTGTCTCTCGGTCCAAGGACAACTCCATTCAGGAAGGTCGTTGGCACTACCACGCTCTGGCTGCTTCTGGTGGGGCGTTCTCGCTGGCACCTACAGCGGGCGAATCCTCAGTGGGGTGAAGGCTAGGGAATACCTGCTGGTAATAAAAAAGTTTGCATTCCTTGCCTTCTCCCGATGGGCGTTATGTTAAAGCTGATTTGTAATGTCAAAAGTGATCAGGAAAGCCTCAGAAAGTCTGAGTAAGAAAAAAAAAAAGGTTGGGGGGAAAGGATGGGGGAAACTAACTAAGGAAAGGATGGGGGACTAACTTCCTGTGCTACTGAATTACAAATCAATGGCGTCCCCGAACTCCAAGAGTGTATACAAATGCTGGAATGATCATGCAGGGTTCGTTTGTTCAGTTGTTTGTTTTAATTAATACTTTTTAAAGTATGAAAATCGGTGAGCTTTTTTGCCAGTCAAGTCTTCTGTAAACACAGATTACCTAAACGATGATAAGGAGTATTTGGGCACTGGGTGTTCGATTTTCTTATTACACTTTTTTTGGACCCTGGAGTTTCTTCTCCCCCCCCCCCTCCCCCCCCTTTTTTTTTCCTCAGCGCCAAGGTTCAGCCGTTGACTAGCTTCTACCCTACTCGCAAAAATTTGGAATAGCAAAAGGTGTGTTGTGAAAGGAAAGCTTCAAACAGAACAATCTGCGGCCGAAAACACGGACTTATTTCAGTTCAGCTCAAGCAGATTTCACGGTGTGTTTAGCTCAGACCATAACATCCATCAGAACATTGCGAGAGATTAGTGACTAATGTATGAAGTAATCCAACCCTTGAAGGAATTGGTTTTTATGTACACACACGCATGCACACATGCACACACTATTTCGACATCATTCTGCCTTCAAGGCTCTGTGCAAATATTAATCTACCCTTCTATAATCTGCTCTTTCCTCTGGCTTGTGTTTTACCATCTCTTTTCTAGGAGTTCACATGACCTGTCAGCACGCAACTCCTAGTTATCTTTTGCTTTTGTCGATCTGTAAAGGTCATATTTCAGGCTATGTTAAAAGCAACTTGATGGAAAGTGGGATTTTTTTTATTATAGCCACGAGTGTGTATTTTAATCGGATCTATTTAAGTGTGGGTAGGGATGAATTGTGTRTAAATGTATGGTTAACAGGATGACAGTGTGCTTTATACTTTCAGAAAACAAGTACATTTTAAAAGAAAAGGGCAAAAAGCCCGCAGAGTTCGAGATGTGTCTTATTAATAAGTATTCTATTCTGTATTTATCTTCTATGAAACCCGATTTTTTGATACGTCGAGAAACACACATCAACAGTACAGTGTCAGGGATATCTGTGTTCCCGCGGTCCTTTTTYAATCCTAGTTTGGATTGCCGCGGAAGGTCGAGTTGAGGATTTTTGCAGTACCCGGTGCGGAGCGATGGGAGCGGGGTGCAGGTATCGCCTGCTGTCCGGAGCCCGCTCGGCGGCGGGGCTGTGGAGCTTGCACTCGCTGAAAGGTGGGGTCTTCCCCTCCTCCTCCTGCTGGAGCATCATCCTGCTCAGAGGAGGCGAGGGGCGGATTTCCCCCTGTTGACCTCTGGGTGGAAATTGCCGCATTCGCGCTACGCTCAGACCACGCCGGCGTTTCCGAGCAAAAGAAAGCACGGGAAGGGAAAAGCCGCGTGTGTCGGTGCTGTCACCTCGCCCCGCGCACCCGGCAGAGGCGCCACACGCAGCCCCGMCGGGCGGGCAGAGCGGCGGGAGGGACCGGCCCGCAGCCCCCGCCCGACCCGGCCCGGGTGCACAGCCATAAATCCGGGCTGTCAGCTGTGACAGACGGCTGGTGAAACGCAGCACCTGTCCAAACACTTTCCAGCAGCAGGTAATCAGAGAACCGACACTTTACATTTTTGTGTGGAACAAGCGCATTAACCATTTCACAGACCTTCGCAAAACAGCGATGTTTTTATGTCTGGGTACTTTGTCTTTTTTAACGTCTAATAAATCAGGATGACAGAAGAGAGACAAAGCCTTTTGACTTGTGATATTTGACACATCAGGAGCAAGCCAACGCTTTGGCGCCCTGCCCTTTCAACTCCAGTAGTGTCTGCATCACCCACAATGYGGCTGTTGCATGGGTGCAGTTTGTGATACTTGAGAGATTCTTACACCTTGCACAGGCAAAAGTCAGGTCAATAACACAGAAACCATGGCTGAAACAGAGAGCAAAGCAGGTCTCTTCAGCAGCATGTGAGAGGATCTGAAAACATCCCATGCTGGTTTCTCCAACCCTCTGCAGTTTCTTCGTATGCCTCGTGGAAACACCAGCCGAAGCATAATTGCACGTGAATTCAGATTCAGACTGAGCTCTGGTTTTAAGAGCTTTTTTAAAGAGAGATTTGGCTTTTCAAATAAATATCTTTTGTTCCTAAGACTTTTTCCCCTCYATAACTGTTTCATCTCTTTCAGGGTTAGAATGTTTTAACTTGCTTCAAAGTGAAAAAAAAATAATCATACCTGACAATCAAAATATTTTCATCAAATATTTTGGGCAGCTGCTTCATATCCTGCCTCCACTATGGCAGATAGTGATTAAAATGGTTATGTGAATAATGTTGGTCCTAGCTACTTTTCTAAATCTCTTCAAATTTTAACCTGCTGAGGAGCAGAACTGCATAAACTCTTCCTTAGGGGACTAAGATCAAAATAATATGAAGGAGATATTTAAGCAGCAGTTTGTGCACTTCAGAAATTAATGGCTGCCGAACATGAACTCCCAGAAGTGAGCTTGCAGAAGTGATCTGTAGATTGCAGCTTGCATGTGTTACATGGAGTCCATGCAGCAGAATAATACAATAATATTATGCCCTTTCTCCTTTATAGTGTGGGCAAAGTGTTCTACTCTCATATCTCARTGGAGGCATGCCAGCAGGGCAGTGTTTTGATTGTTGTTTTCCAATCAGATTAATTAACCCAACTTTTCACTGACCAGACCTGATGAAGCCTGAAATTTTCTATCATCTAACCTTCCAAATCACTCACAAGATGGCATAAGCCACSCATCAGTATCCATAATGCCTCTCAGGAAGGAATCCACTGAAATCTGTCATTTTATTCAACAGCCATCTCTGCATAGCAGTGCTAGCTCAATTCAACATGGTTCTTTAGTGAAAGCTTTTAAGCAAAAAAGTGCAGCCCTTGGTATCACTCTAGATGCTGAGAAGACCAAAAGAGGTTTGATGGAATTTTATTTTGGGAATTTGTCAGGTTTTTTTCCACCCCAAACCCATTATCAAAAAGGTGACAGTTCASGGCTGGATGTTTCAGGCACAGAAGATGAAAAAGACATTTCATCCCAGAAAAGGCACATACAAAGGACCCAGATTCACAGGCCCTTCATTTTTCACCCCATGCCTTAAGAAGCCCAAGGTGAAATTCCCTGCACAAGAGTGAGGAGAACAGCCACAGCCCTACACAGAAGGGTAACGCTTCTAGCCAAAGTCCAGATTTTGCACAACTCTTTACTGAGTTGGGGGGGATGTTTCATTTAATAACAGGGAAGAGAATCAGTCCCTTTGTTGTGACAGASTTTATGCCTTTTAAGTCTGAAGCAGACAAAAACAAAGTTGAAATCCACCTCCAGCCAAATTCAAGGCACTAAGTGGTGATTTTGGTAAGAGTGCTTGTTGCAACTTTGCTGAGCACCACAGTAGCTCTTTAATGATGGGGTGAATATGATTCCATCTTTTGTTTACATCCTGGAGAGGAAACATTTTCCTCTTGACTAAATAATCCTGTCTTCACTGACTCTCAAATTCAGCTTCAGAGAAGACATCCACAGAGCGCAAATACCCCATCATAAAATAAGACAAAGAGACACTGAGCACCCAGTCAATCCTTTCTATACATTCCAATATATCAATGCATCATTGTTYAGGTTATATATTGTCAGCTTCAGAAAACTAAGTAATTCTGATAGTCCCCAGCCCTGCACAGGAACTAAACATGG